CCTGCTGCTCCCCTCAGCAGTGTATTTCGTCAGTCTGCCTGTTCTGCTCCCCACTCTGTCTCTGGTGAATCCTCTCACCCCCTGCATCTCTGGCCCGTGTCCCAGCTCTTGTATGCATAAATAAATAAAATCTTAAAAAAAAAATAAAGTGGCTATCCCACTGATTTCTTTTTAAACACTCATCTCTGAATGTTGGGCCCCTTCTAGCTTTGATCCTGTCTCTTCCCCTGGCAGTCTATTGACAGAAGGACTTCTGGTTAAAGGATCTTGTTAAAGGATAGAAGGACTTCTGGTTAAAACTGGGGAGACAGAGGAATCTTTAAATGGGTGGGCGACAACCAAGGCCTGGAGTTCTAACTTTGGGTTCAACCATCTGCCCTCCTAGCCTATGTGACCATTGCCACTGCTAAACCTGCCCCCAGGAATTCCTATCACCAGAGAGCTCCAAGCCACCTGAGAATCTGATGGATGCTTAAGGCTTTAGGATGGTTCGTCTCCATGTTGAGAAAAAGTCTTTTCCTATAGCTGCCCTCAGCCAGCATCCCATGCACCCAGAGTCTAGGTATTCGGGGTGCTCAGGACCTCCTCCTACACCATTCTGCATGTGTGTTTGCAGTCTACCCCATAACTGTTTGTTTCATGGCTCATTCATTTACTTTTTTTTATGCCCCTCAATATCCTCCCACATTCCCACCTTGAAACCACTGGGCTGGCACCCCCACATACAACCCAGAGCGATGGGTGCTATGGGCTTCAAAAGGCAGAGTCCATCCATGCGATGAGCTATTTGGACCCTTTCTCTTTCCCCAAAACTCAAGTGGAGACAGAAAATATGCTTCTGTTTGATCTCCAGAGAAAAGATACAAAAAATCCTGTAAATCCCAGGTAGAAATATTCATTTTACAATTTTGATATCGCCTACTAGAATTTTCCTCCCACCCTTTCCAAACACTCATGAACCCTTGGTAAAGGTGCTGCATGCATATACGCATGCCATCTGGAACGAGGCTTGTCTCCAGACAATGGGATTTGCCATCTTGTTCTCCCCATTATCCTGTAAACTCTTCAAAGTAAGATATTAAGCTCTTTTCTTTCTTTGTAATTCCCCTGTGCCCAATTCGTGTCACTCCGTCCTTAGCAAGTGTTCAGTGAAAACTACTGACAATGTAAACCAAGTTCCTAGCACTTATAAATGAGACATTGCCCACATCCATTGTCAAATGAGTTTCTTTAAAAAAAGATTTCTTGGATTCAGAGTGTGTGTGTGTGTGTGTGTGAAAGAGAGACAGACAGAGAGACAGAGAGAGAGAGACAGAGACAGAGACAGAGAGATGAGAAATTCAGAAATGAAGATGACCCAAGGATGTAAAACATGAAGATACACAGGAACAAGAAGGCCCACAGACCCACAGGCCAACATAAAGGAATCCATGGACTCCTTCTAGGTCCAGATCTATAGCTAGGTAAATACATGAATTCATATATACACACATAGAGATAGCTATGTACTCATCCATTTAAAAATGACTCAGTCATCATTCTAGATGAAGACTTTGAGATATCAGATGCTTTTTAAAACATAGCTTTGGGGGCCTCCCCGGTGGCGCAGCAGTTGAGCGTTGGGTTGCAAAGCTGCCCGCAGCCTCTGCAGCGCTGGTTCAACCCCCAGCCACCGGGCGAGGGTCCCACATGACATGCAGACCTCTCCTGCCTCCCACTGCTCCCCTCAGCAGTGTACTTCATCAGTCTGCCTGTTCTGCTCCCTGCAATGGCTCTGGTGAATTCTCTCACCCTCCCACGCTTCTGACTGTACCCAGTGCTTGTATAAATAAATAAATCTTTAAAAAAAAAAAAACAAACATAGCTTTGGGAAGACCACGTGCACCAGGACTGTCCACTCACAACAAGGTGGGCATCACAGCACAGGCCTGTAAACACCAAAAAACCCATGCATTTGGTGAAGCTGACAAAGCTTTTGCTTCCAAATTATAAAATCCTTGATGAAGTAGGCCTCAATTATGAGACTGTTGACATGTGAGCATGACAGCTGTCATTCGACACTGGTGCCAGGGCTTGTAAAGTGCCCTCCATCCTACTAGGGAGAGGAGGCACGATGCAGCAGAAAGAGCCAGGGACCAAGCGTTGGAGAATCTGGACAGTTGTGCCACCCTTCAAGAGCCTGTCTCCTGGTCTGTGAGAGGAGGCACCGCCTGGGCCCAGCTTCCACTGCAGCAAGGCTCTGCTGTGGAGGCTACTGGGCACATAGGAGGCAGCAGGGTGGGCAGTGGGCAGCAGGGCATCCCTTGGACTCACGGTCCCCTGAAGTTGGGGACCACAGCACAGTTGTCAAAATCAGAGCCGTTAGGGACAGAACATCCTAATATACAGAAAAGCCCCCAAGAATGTGGGATGCCCCAGCACATGACTTACGCCATCAAGAAAAAAAAATCAAGGGCCTCCTTGGTGGCATAAGAGTTATGTCTCAGCGCTGTCACCCTATCACCGCAGTGGCATGACTTTGATCCCCAGCCAGTGAGCTGACCCACATGGCGCAGCAGACCTCTCCTGACTCACCCGCTGCTCCCCTCAGCAGTGTATTTCAGTAGATCTGCCTGTTCTGCTCCCCACTCTGTCTCTGGTGAATCCTCTCAACCCCGCACCTCTGGCCCATACCCCAGATCTTCTACACCAAATAAATAAATAAACACACACACACATACACGCGCACACACACAAGTTAACTGTTTAAAAAAAAAGAAAAGAAAAGAAAAAATCAAGTTGAGTGCCTGCAGAGACAGTGAAGTGAAGGAGGAAGTGTGAGCAGGATATTCCATCAACACCCACTACCCTGACAAGATCACACATTTAAGCAAAAAGGTGATACAGAATTCAAGTAAGAGTTAAAGAAATACCAACACCCAGGTACACCTGGATAATTTTTTTTGCCTCCTATTTTCACCCACTGGTTAATTTAACCCAGTTTCTATTAAGTCTTTGGACAAAAAAAAAAAAAAGTCCTTTCATCTGCCTGTGCTTTTTGGTTAAGAATCACGTCTTTGGTGTCTGTAGCCAGTGTTGCATTTAAAGGTCTCAGACTAATTCCATCAGGTAGTTTAAAGGGACAGGAATTGAAAATAAGGAAAATAAGCTTAATTTTTTTCTTAAATGGAAGGAAAAAAGGTTCCAAGTGACCTTTCTGCATGGCAGCACCCTCCCTGGCCACGGCCAGGTGGGTGGAGAACAAGGGACAATGCATTCACCATGGCGTGCTTCCAGTCAAAAGCCAGACACACACAGCTCCCTGCTCTTAACCGTAGGTTGTTGCCTCTGGAAGTTAGATTTTGTTTTCTGCCTATTCTCTTGGAGTATTAAAAACTGCTTTCAAAGTCCCAAAATGAAGCTTGTCATAACGTGACTACTTGAAACAAATTGAAACCAAATTTGAAAAGGTTTAAAAATAGGCATTTCCAATTGATATCATTGCGACAATGACACTTCAACCATTCCTCTGGTTCTGCTCATCTGAGTAGGGCGAGACCTCCGGGGACGAGAGGGGCCCCATTTGATGAGCCGTCCATGCTCACCTAGGCCTGCTGGGGTGCCGAGACAGCAGAGAGGCTGCTCTCATGGAAACAAAGGGGATGATCTCATCCCTCTATGCTACGTTCACCAGAGTTAGCAAATAAACATACAGGACACATGAATTTCAGGCCAAAAAAAAAAAAAAGAATTGCTTTGTTTATCATAAATCCTATGCAGTATTTCAGACATGCTCACATTAAATATTTACATGTTACTTATCTGAAATTCAGATTTAACTGGCATCCTGAGTTTGCCATCTGACTTCTCTACTGTAGTCTCTGATTCCCTGAAGTATTTGGGACAGATGGGTGGGAAGTGGGGGTGAGTGAAGGATCCATTTACTATCCAGAGAGAACAGCAAAACTAATAGCCCATTTTGGGGACTAGGCATTCTGTTTCGTCCACATGCCAGGCTCTTCCCTCCTACCCTCTTCCCTCACTTCTCCCCAAGAAGGCCCCACACCACTCCAAGTCCCATGTTTCCTTTAAGACACACCTCTGATCCCCCAGCCCAGCACCCACCACAACACACCTCCTAATCTGACCTCTCCGCACACTGAGGTGCCGCTGGAGAGAGGCTGCCTGTAAGGACTCATTTGCTTCCACATTCTGTTGTGTCCTGTTTTATTTCTCAAGAAAGGCTGCAAATAGGTTTTGGAGAGGCTCTTTATTGGAGGTTTCTTTTCAATTTTCCTCTCCCTATACACACTCCCTCCTGTCCACTGTACTCAGGTGCCAAAAAAGCAAATCGGTGTTGGTTTGTTGTCTGTGATCACAATTTCAAGACCCAAGGCAAAGCCAGGTCTGAGGCAGCATGTCCTGCTTGCCTAGTGGAAATTTTTATGGACTCGATCCCCTACTGACACTGCCCTGATTCCAGCAAGGGACACCCCGTCTCCCTCACTACTTCATCCGACTGATTAGTGATCTCCAGGGAAATAAAACAATCACATATATTTAACAAAAAGAGGGAAGAAAGAGCTCTTTGTTTAGAGCTTCTTAGTGTGTGCTTGAAGCAAAACATTTACAGCTAAGCCGTAAAATGCATGGAAATAGGAAGAAACACTGACACAACAATAAAGCGAGGGCTGAGATTAATGATGCCATAATACAATCTGTTTTCATTTGGTGTGGAGAAAATTAAGTTTTGAAGACATTTCATTTAACTTTGCGATATTTTGTAGCTTAACCTTTGGTGCTTGAAACTTTCTCTGTTGTCCACCCTCCACCCTTTGAAGCCAAGCAAGTTTTATGTCTGGTTGTAAGTGTGGCTTCATGGTGGATGACATGGACACAGGCAGCAAAGATCACACCCAGGGAGCCAAAGTTATTGCTGACCGCAATTCTCTGCTATTTCCTATGGAAACACCCTCTTTAATCATCTGAAATTCAACTTCCAAAAGAATAAGATGTGTTACCTTCCAGAGCAAGGCACCGGGGTGGGCTGGATGACCAGATAAGGTTGTGTAAGCACTCGAGATACTCTGACCCCTCAAGCTTAAATCCAGGAAAGCAGTGGTAGGAGATCACAGTTCCCACGGGGAAGGAGGTCTGGAACTCAGAGATGTTCACATAGCCATTAGAAGAGGTGAGTGGTCTCAGGCAGCCTGTGACATGGGGGACAAAAAAAGGCAGGTCTCATGGAGTCATTTTTTATACCAAAAAGGCAAACAAAGCATTAAAACTCTTTAGGAACCCCCCTGCCCCCACTGCGAACCACATGGTCTCTGAGAACTGAAGAGCTTGGTCTTGAAAGTTCGGACTTCCTTACCTACTTCCCATTTTATTTGCAAGCAGGTTGTGCTTTCATTGTTGCAAATAGCACCAGGAGGACAACAGGATGGGGAAGCGTGAGAGAGGGGTCCGGAGAATGGGGATTTTCCTAGCGGATGGTTCCAGCCTTGACTGAACCTGAGAATGTTTATGAAACACCAGTGCCCAGGGCCCGCACTCAGGATCTACATAGAACCATAGAACTTGGGCCTAGCTACATTTTTCCTTTTTTTTTTTTTTTTTGAAGCTCTCCAGAATCCCAATGCTGTATCCGGGTGAGAGCCACCAAGATGCCACAGGCCAAAGAGACACCTCGATGTTCAGCGGTGCTGGTGGGAGGTCTGGGAAGGTTTTGATGTGTACTCAGCTCTGGTTCTATCACTGCTGATGATGGAAGAGACTCCCGTCTGACATGGTGCGACTGAACTTTTAAAAAATCCAGCTGTGCTTCATGTGAAATAGGTAAGGAAGCCTGTGGTGTGGTGGTTCTCAAACTTGACAGTGACCCAGAGGGAGAGCTTGTTAGGACCACGGTACCCACACCTCAGCCACACTCGCACTCTCCACCCTCACCCTGTCAGTGGTGGGGACCCTGAGTTTGCACGGCTTACATTTTCTGCTGCTGCTGGTCTGGAGACCTGGCTTGCAAAGCCCCGCTGGAGGGAGTACATGCACCAAGCACAGAAGTCTGTGAGCTATCTGAGCAGGAGACTAGGGTCCCAAATCCCTGCTCCTATAAGACAGCAGCTGCCTTTTTGTCTTGAAGACTGTGAGCCCAGTAGCAAATTCTCAGGGGCACAGAATTCTACTTTGTGTGGCATACACTGTGATCAGGGAGGTTCTTATTGGCTTCAGCATTTCACTGGAGGGAATAATGACCCTGACGAGAAGCTGCTTTTCCCAGGGAGAACTAACTGTGCATGCAGTAAATAATGTATAATGGAGATCCCGACTTTCCCCTCCAATCACCAAGTGCAAAGGAGCTCATGTGCACTGTAGCAGAGGCCTGGGCTCCTCCCAGGCTGACTTTGCTAGAGAGTATGAGCATCAGAGAGCTCTGTGTTCAGCAAATTGCCTCAGTCAGCACCTCGTGATCTGGTGTCTGTGTCAGGGTGAGACCAGAGTGAGGAGTGAGAGGCCCCTAGGGAGGTGCTCACCCTGGGGTTGTGCTAGTGCTGAGCCTCTACCTGTGTCTCGGTGCCACTGGGCTTGCAGGTCCAGCCAGCCACCACCAGGTAAGACCCTCCATTTAGACAGTCCTTGTGGCCTTTACCTGACTTTTATCCCCCCTGACCTAAAAACAGATGATGTTCATGGCAAAGGTAAAAAGGTAGAGTGGGTGGAGGAGGCTGAGAATCAGAAATAAACAGAATCTATAATTAAGGAAAAATATAAGCAAATTAATCTAACAAGTGAATGCATTAGAACCCCTAAGTGTAGCTCAAATGAGCTGGCATAAAAACATCTGTGCACACTCCTTCTCAAAAGGAGTGTAGTTCTAAGCTACCCACATGGGTAGACTGGCCTCCTTCAAATAAAAACTAACCCTGACCCACAGCGAGGCAGTGGCATCAGGACGCCTATCTCCAAAATGCCAAATTCCCATGGAAAAGATGGCCTGGGAAGAGTGCCTTCCACCCCCTGCCCCCCAAGAAACCAATGGGGTGGTGACTCCTGCCATTAATGGGAGAAGGAAAAGATATGCTCACTCTGGGTTCCAGACAGCCTGTCCTAAATATAACAGTAGAAAACTGGCTTTGACTCAACAGTTCAATGTGATTTCTATTTGTACTTGTAGATAATAGAGTAAAGTCTCCTCTGGCTTTAGCCCCTGGATCTATAGGTGCAAATAAAAGTTACAGGATGAAATGTCACTCAAAGGGCCAATTATATCCCCCCTGGGGACTCCAGAGGTTTCAGGCTGTCTACAGCCACCGTGATGCCTCATGGCCCACCTGTGACCCAGTGGACATAGGAGGAAGCTGGGGAGACAGCAGCTCTGGAACACAGGCTCCCTCCTGGCCCTGCAGTTGGGCACAGGGGTGGAGTAGAGGGCAGAGGACAGGCTGGAGGCACCCCCATCATGCAGATAGAGGGCAAGGAGGAGGAACGAAGGTGCAGGATAAGCTGCTTGAAAAAGCATGCCTCTAGAGAGCGCCAGCTCTTTTGTTGCTACAGAACTATAAAAGCTATTTTTGACTGAGATTTGAGGAAGGGGTATGAAAGGAGGGGACAGAGGGAGTAAAGGGAAAGCCTGCCTCTGAACTCCTGACAATGACATCCCAAGATACATACCAACATAGGGTATTTTTAAAAATCACTGGGGAAAAAAAAGAACCCCTAAAGAAACATACTGAGTTTAAGTGTCATAAGAGGAAATAGAAAGGGTGGGAGAACAAAAAGATAATTGGAAAATATGAAGGCCAGTGGTGCCTAGTGTCTGAGGTAATTTTCTTCACCATTATTCTGATAGTGCCGCAGGACTGGAACGAATCACTGGTTAATACAATTCATGTGAATAAATAACCTGACCTAAGAGCCAGCTGCTGATTTTGTGGACAGTCTCTGAAAATGTAAATAAATCACATGTCTTCTCTGATGATGGAATACATAGCCCATATAACAACACAGTGAGTTTCTGGGAAGAAATACCCAAATGTGATGGTCTGGGCTGCCTCTGTCCTCCAAATCCTGAAGTCTTTGTTTCTTCAAGGGGCAGTGACTCTTAAGCTCTTGCATAAGGAAATGATTTATTTCCAACTAAGGGGCAAGCAAAGCAAAATCAGACTCTGCCAGTTGTGATTTCCAGGCACAAAGTTAACATTCATCTCAACTTTAACACGCCAATGCTTTTGGTGCAAATAAGATTGTGCTCCCTCTTCCTCGAATTATGAATTATGTCTTGGCTTCTTGGTCCTTTGGTCCCAAGTCACATGTCAAAAAATAAAATCAGAATTAATGTGAACTCGAGGGGTTATTTTCACAAACAGGGCCCTCTATGTCAGTCCAGGCAAATTTAAAAAATGCAAGAGGATAAATATTCGTGGTGTTTGGAGGAAATTTGAATTTGATTACTTTTCTCCTCCTCATGCATTATAAAAAAAGGATAACATTATTAAGAAAAAACAACCTCTGTAAGATTGGCTGTAAATATATTCTCAACACTCCTGAAATAAGTATAAATGCTCTGTTATTTCCATTAAACATACAGTAGTTCATCATTGTGTTCACAGCCTAGTTATAAAGCTCCTAATTCTTGACTGCTTTTGGTTTTTTAGAGTAAAGGAGACATTTGCACGCTAAAGAACAAGGTATTTCCCATCTGGACTTAAAAATTGTGTCTATGAAAGCAGTAATAAGATGAAAATACATAGCAATACAGGCTCACATCAACAAACAAGAAAGAACTGAAACAACCTAATCTCATATCTCAAAGAGCTAGAAAAGGAACAACAAAAAAACCCTAAAGCCAGTAGAAGAAAGGAAATAATAAAAATCAATGCAGAAATAAATGAGTTGGAAATTAAAAAAACAGTCCAAAAGATCAATGAAACCAAAAGTTGGTTTTTTGAAAAAATAAACAAAATAGACAAGCCTCTAGCCAAGCTCACAAAGAAAAAACAAGAGAAAACACATATAAATAGGATTACAAATGAAAGAGGAGAAATCACAACAGACTCAGTAGAAATCAAAAGAATAATCAGAGATTACCATGAACACTTATATGCAAACAAATTCAACAACCTAGAAGAGATGGGCAGATTCCTAGAATGATATAATGATTCAAAGCTGGACAAAGAAGAAATAGAACAACTAAACAGACCAATTACAAGCAGCAAAATTGAGGCAGTAATCAAAGCACTCCCCAAAAACAAAAGCCCAGGCCCAGACGGCTTCACAAATGAATTCTACCAAACATTCAGCAGTGAATTAGTGCCTATCCTACACAAACTCTTTCAAAAAATTGAAAAAGAAGGAATACTACAAAATACGTTCTACGGAGCCAACATTACACTAATACCAAAACCAAACAAAGACAGCACAAAAAAAGAAAATTATAGGCCAGTCTCCCTAATGAACACTGATGCAAAAATCCTCAACAAAATCCTTGCCAACAGAATCCAACAATGCATCAAAGAGATAGTATACCACGATCAAGTAGGATTCATCCCAGGGGCACAAGGATGGTTCAACATACGAAAATCGGTAAGTGTAATCCAACACATCAACAAAAAGAAAAATAAAAACCATATGATCACATGCTGAGATCATCAATAGATGCTGAGAAAGCAATCAACAAAGTCCAACATCCATTTATGATGAAGGCCCTTGAAATTCTCAGGATAGAAGGAACATACCTAAACATGATAAAAGCCATATACAGGGCCTCCCCTGGTGGCGCAGCAGTTGAGTGCTGGGCTGCAAAGCTGCCCGCAGCCTCTGCAGCACCAGTTTGATTCCCAGACACTGGCGAGGGTCCCACATGGCACACAGATCTCTTCTGCCGCCCGCTGCTCCCCTCAGCAGTGTATTTCGTCAGTCTGCCTGTTCTGTTCCCCACTCTGGCTCTGGTGAATTCTCTCACCCTCCCGCACTTCTGACTATACCCAGTGCTTGTATAAATAAATAAATAAATCTTTTTTTTTTTTTTTAAAAGCCATATACAACAAACCCATGGCCAACATTATTCTCAATGGAGAAAAGCTGAAGGCCTTTCCTTTAAAATCAGGAACAAGACAAGGATGTCCTCTCTTACCACTGCTCTTCAATATAATACTGGAGGTCCTAGCCAGGGCAATAAGACAAGAGAAAGACATACAAGGAAGCTAAATAGGGAAAGAAGAAGTAAAACTATCACTATTTGCAGATGATATGATAATATACGTAGAGAACCCTAAAAACTCCATAGAAAAACTACTCAAAATAATCAACCAGTTCAGTAAAATAGCAGAATACAAAATCAACACACAAATATCAGTAGCCTTCCTATACACAAACACTCAATTGGAAGAAGAAGAAATCAAGAAAACCATCCTTTTTATAACTGAAACCAAAAAAATCAAATACTTGGGAATAAACCTAACAAAAGAGGTGAAAGAAAATTATGAAACACTGTTAAAATAAATCAAAGAAGACACAAAGAAATGGAAAGACATCCCCTGCTCATGGACTGGAAGAATCAACATTATTAAAATGGCCATCCTCCCAAAAGCAATATACAGATTCAATGCTATTCCAATAAAAAATCCCAATGACATTCTTCAAAGAAATAGAACAAATACTGATGAAATTCATATGGAACCACAAAAAAACACAAATAGCCAAAGCCCTACTGATGAAAACAAAGGAGAAAGGAGGTATCACACTTCCAAACTTCAAGCTATACTACAAAGCCATAATAATTAAAACAGTTTGGTATTGGAACCAAAACAGACACACAGACCAATGGAACCGAACAGAGAGCCCAGAAATAAAGCCACAATTATATGAACAACTAATCTTTGACAAGGGAGCAAAGAATATGCAATGGAACATGGACAGTTTGTTCAATAAATGGTGTTGGGAAAACTGGACCACCTCATGCAAAAAAAAAGAAACAAGACCACTACCTCTCACCGTGCACAAAAATCAACTCAAAATGGATAAAAGAACTGCACATAAGACCTGAAACCATAAAATGTATAGAAGAAAATATAGGGAAAACACTAAAGACATACATCTCAGAAACATCTTTAAAGACTCATCACCCAAAGTAGTGGTAGTGAAGGCAAAGATAAACACCTGGGATTACATCAAACTGAAAAGCTTCTGCACAGCCAAAGAGACATTAACCAAAACAGAGAGACATACCACTGATTGGGAAAATATCTTTGCACTCCATTCAACTGATAAGGGACTGATCACAAAGATATACAAAGAACACACATGGCTCAACAAAATCAAAACAAATAATCCAGTCAAGAAAAGGGCAGAAGAACTCAAAAGACATTTCTCCAAAGAGGAAATGCAAACGGCCAACAAGCATATGAAAAAATGTTGAATATCCCCTATCATCAGGGAAATGCAAATCAAAACCACACTGAGATACCACTTTATACCAGTAAGAATGGCACATATCAAAAAAAACAAGCAATAACAAAGGTTGGTGAGAATGTGGTGAAAAAGGAACTCTCCTACATTGCTGGTGGGAGTGCAAACTGGTCCAGCCACTGTGGAAAGCTGTCTGGAGGTTCCTAAGTCTACTAAAAATGGAGCTACTGTACGATCTGGCAATTCCACTACTAGGGATCTACCCAAAGGACACAAAAACAGTGATTCAAAAGAATACCTGTACCCTTATGTTTATTGCAGCACTATTTACAAAAGGTAAAACCTGGAAACAACCCAAATGCCCATAAACAGATGACTGGATCAAGAAGGTGTGGAATATTATTCAGTAATCAAAAAAGATAAACTCATGCCATTCGCAGCAACATGGATGGAGCTAGAAGTTATTATGCTCAGTGAAATAAGCCAGAAGGTAGAAGAAAAATATCGGATGGTTTCACTTTAACAGGAATATAGGGGAACCAAATAAGACATCAGTGTAAAAAAAAATAATAACAGTACAAAACACAACAAAGCAAAAACATAATTATAAATCAGAGACATACTGCAGGGGAGGAGGAGGGAGAGAGATGAGAGGGAGGGAGGGAGAAGCACAGGGGACTGTGGTAATGGTGCATGGGTGCCTTGGGGAAGAAAATTCTATGGGGACTCAATCTGAGGGGGTGGGAGGAAGCAAATATTGTCTAAAAAAATGTAAAAAATGATATATGTTAATTTTTTTTTAAAAAGTGTGTCTATGGAGCTGGAGAAAACTACAGGGGGTGATGTGGAGATTCAAAAAAAGAGCTTGGGTGACCACAAAGAAGACAGAGCAGAAGCAGGGTGGTGGGTGGCTTTGTTTTTCCTGCCATCATACTATTAGAGAAATGCGTGCATGCTCTACAGTAAAGTCTGGGAGAATGGCCAAGAACAAGCGCTTCCATCCTGTACCTTGACAGATGGGCAGGTTGTCCCATGCACCGTCCTCGTGACATAATGAAACCATGTTGTACAGGTCAGGGTAGCGGATCTTGAATCCTTCGTGACACGTGATGATTAACTTATCTCCATGTCTGTATGTCTTGTTGTGAATCTCAGCATCTTCAATTTGGGGGATACGGCAATCTGCAATGGCATGGAAAGTATCCGTTACTTTTGGAATCACTGTGGCTGTGGTTCATAAGACAGTTCTTAATTCCCGATGTGGTGTCGATCTATGCAGCAGCCTCTGGATGGCCCCTGATTCACCACTAGGCTCACCAAACAACAAGCAGCGTCACCTGATTCAGAGAAGTAGGAAGAAAGACAGAATACAGGGATTCAGTCCCTGTCTGTGACCCATCACTCCATATAGCTGAGTTTATGGACGATTTTTGAAATAAGCAAAGAAAGACAAGAGTCAGGGATTCTCCTGAACAATCTGTCTGGTTCCATTCTTTGCCAGCCTGCTGGCCCTGCCTCCCCGCCACAGGCAAGGGCCTGAGCCTGACATGAAAATAGGCTTCGCAGAACAGCAGGGGCCGGAAGAGATTGCATTTGCTATTAGCATTTCCTAATCACCTTACCTGTTTTTAAAAGATAGTAAACAGAGCAGCACATACTAATGCCAACATCACAAAGGGTCAGAGAAAGAGGCTATATTGCCTCCTGAAGATGAACTTATAGCAGAATACACACAGGTGGGAGAAGAGGCCTGGCTGGGAATCAGGAGGAGGACAGTGGAGAAACAAGGAGTCCATGCATCAAAAGAGGTAAGATAAAACAAAAATTGTTAAATTATATGTATACCCATCTAACTAGCAACTCCCAGTTTACCGCAGACCACTACGCCATGCTGCCAAATTGTGACCCTGCTCCCTCTGTCCGCTACCACCTTAAACACCACCCAACTCACCTCATCTGGCTTAAAACACACAGGTTAGTGTGAGTCTCACTGTGTCTCTTATGGAATCAACGTCTCTGATTCCACATGCATATATGCTTGAGCTATTTATTTCTACTGTAAAAGTAGAAGGAGGCTCTGACTTACTTATGGTTATATTTCAAATTTGCTACTTCTTAATATTTTGAAAACAAACAAAATCCCAGAATTGCACTTTAACAGTCACAGATACTTCCTCCAGAATTTTCTTGATGTGCTAATAAATTGGATGTTTCTCAGCCACCCCTCCTCAAAGTTTATTGAATCCATGATATGCATGATATGGGTGGAATAATATTCCTAAGAACCCTGACCTTCATGTTCCTCTAATTTTTAAACTGTTCTGGGCTCTGAGCCCTCTGGGCAGCTTTAAAAAGAGCAGATCCCAGGAGCTTGGAGGTGGGATTGGGGCTAGGTTTCCTGGGAAGCAATAACTCTGGTAACAGACTACAGAGAACAGTGATGGGACCACCTGGACAGAAGGGGGTCTCCTGGGCAGAGGAGGGTCCTGGCAGTGGAGTGAAGCAGCGGTGGACCTCACTGTATCTTATGGGTCACTGAAGCCAAATGCTTGCAAACCCAGGTTAGCCTTCATCTAAGCCCTCTCATCACCATCACTCAAGAGCAGGGATGTGTTAACTACTTGCTCTGACAATCCCTTCATGCTGCCAGACTTCTGTGCACACCTGCAAAGAAGAGAAGCTTGGGCATCATGTGACCCTCTGCCTATGAACTTTGCAAACTCACAGCTCCCAAGAGGCTGATTAAAGGGCTGATTCAGGGTGTAGAGCTGATGTTAGGCCTCCCCCAGAGGGAACCTATCATCAGTATTCCCCTTTGCTTCTGGATTTCAGTGGAGAGAGTCTTGGCTGCAGAACTGTTTCAATTTTACCTCTCTTCTTTGCATTTCAGGCAGTGAATAGGGGTTTTCCAACTGCTTATGTTTAACCAATGGTTTTTCTACTAGAATAGCTAAATTTCCCCCCAAGTCAGGCCCTGCATAATCCTGACCGGAGTCACAAGATGGTTGACAACTCTGCCACCTTCTTCTTAATGGAAAAAAATGTGAATTACATTTTTTCAATATCACAATGCAGAAATTATTCACAGCAAATAAAAACACATTTATCAAGGCATCCGCCTGTAAAATCTTGCCTGTAAATAGATCGTGTGGCAATAATTTATATGACTAAACCACTGTTTTCATGATTGACTTAAAACTTATTCAAGTGTTAACCAGGAGGTTTGCCGGTTAGAGCAAAGCCAATGGACAGAGTGCATGTGGGCATTGCGGCCACGTGGACCCTGGCTGACAGAATTTTTAAAAGTTACTTAGAAAATACTGTTAGGAAGGTCTGATCCTGCCAGGTAGAATCAGGTCAGCAATCAAAACTTAGTGATGTCGGCATAAATGGGCAATATGGACTTGTCACTGAAGGGATATCAAAGACTTCCATTGTAGAAATCATCTTCCATGAGCCCAATCCTGTCACTGTTTCTAGAAACAAAGGGGTATTTAACATAATAAATAAACAAAAGGGGCTAGCCCTAAGGCAGTATTGCAATTTTGTACCTAAGTACAAATTAACTGATCAGACTGGTTAGCAGAGTGTAGAGTCCTTACAAAGCAGTAATCGTAAAGAAATTTTAAAGAATATGTACTGAGTTAGATTTACTTTTCTTTACAATGTTATATGTGAAAATGAATCTGATGCCTTAAAAGTGCCTAGTGTTCACATCCATCCTTCCCAAAAAGTGTTCCAGGGACATGAATACATGATATACACTCAGAGATTCACAATTCATATTAGTATGTTAAGGGCTCTGAATGTCTTCCTGTAAAGAATTCAACTGGATTTTGTTTAAGCCAGCATTTGTAAAGCTTATTTTTTATTCATCCATCTGTTCATTCATTCAGTGAATTATTGAGCACTTACTCTAGGTCTAGTATGTTCTATTGCTGGGAATAAAGGAAGGTTAAAAATCTTACTCATATGTGCTGCATGGAGGGAGACCACTGGCAAATTATAACAGATAATGAGTTAGAAAATAACAGGCAATGATCATTGCCATAACAAGGTAATATGATAAGAATTGATTCAGGAACCCCTTTAATTTGGGTTGATGGCAAAGGTACCTATGAGGATGAGACCTAATGACAAGGAGAATTCAATCATGTGTGCATCTGGGAGAAGAGCATTTCAGGCAGAGGGAAAGCTAGTGCAAAGGCCAGGAAAGAGCCCAAATGTCCTTAAAAAATGCAAGAGAACATGGGTATGTGTGAAACATAGGGAGTAACAGCATATGAAGAGGCAAGACCATGTAGGGTCTTGTAGGTTAGGGCAAGGAATCCAGGTTTCATTTTAGTGTGATGGGTAGTTATAAGAATTTTTAAAACACGAGTCACAACATGACATTATTTATTGTCTAAGAGAGCACAGTAGAGGATTAACCTTGTCCTTTGCTGTCAAATCCTGGGAAGTAAAGTTTAGTCTTTGGAACATGCAGCCTAGAAGGAGTGCCTTTATTTGGAGCCTTTAGGCCATGCCAGCATCTATGCTAACAATGTGATTTAGGCTGAGGAATGGGGAGGCTTGGGCTATGTAGTATCAGCTTAACTTCCGGGAGCATTAGAGACTAAGATCAGTCATGTAAGTGATCAATCCACCATGTCTGTGTGACTAAGTCATAATAAATCTCTGGATACCAACCCTCAGATGAGCAAAGGGTTGTCAATTTTCCACATATATCATTGCTGAAAGAAACAGGAGGCACTGTCCACACAGCTCCACTGGGAGAGGGCCAATGGGCACAATGTATGTTTTCCCTTGGCTGATTTCAGTCTGTATCCTTTCAATGTAGTATACCATAATTGTGAGTTTAACAGGTTTTTATGAGTTCTGTGAATCCTTCTAGCGAATTACTGAAACTGAGGATGGATTTGGGGTCTTCCAAACTTGTAGTTGGTATCAAAGAAGTGATGGTCATGGGGGCCTTGGGACCCTGAACTTGTCAATAGTATCAGAGGTGATGATGGTCTTGGAGAGTCCCAAACATGAATCTGGTGTTATATGGAAGAGTGAACTTTGTACCATAGAACCTTTTTTTCACTTAATATCTATTCACATCTCTCAGAATTACTGTTCTATATCAGGCCTGCTCCATCTCTCTTCTACAGGACTACCATTCCATGCAATTATTATTCAGAGAACACTGTTCTGAACCCCACAGCTTACTCAGGATCAGGCTGAAGATGTTGAGTGGAACCAAATGAGGCAAATGATGCCATCCTAAACAATCAATATAAGGCAGAAAGATGTAGAGGCAAGTGTTGATGTGTGTGTATGGTCAAGAAGAGCCATGGAAGTGTTGAAGAAGCAATGTAGGAACACTTGCTCTTTCAGAATTCAAGGTGTATTATAAAGTTTTAGTAATTAAATTAGTATAGTACTGACCTGAAGATAGAGCAATGGAACAAACCAGGGAGTCCTGATATAAGACAACAGAATAAGGAACCTCATTACTCATGAGGGAGTAATATATTAAAACTGACCGCTATCACCATCCGATACTACAATATCCACCAGATGGCTAAAATATTGACAATACTAAGTGTTGGCAAGGAGTACTAAGAGACTCATACACTTGATGGGAGTCTCGGTTGATACCATCACTTTGGAAAGCTGGCAGTACCCACTAATGCTGAATATAGGCATAGCCTATGACCAACCAACTCCACTCTCAGGTATGGAAGTACCTCCAACAGAAATATGTACATACATTCACCAAGAGGTATGTTATAGAATGTTCATTCAGTACTATTTGTAACAGACCCAGGGGGAACAACAACAAAAAACCCTACTGAAATTCCATTAATATCATAATGTTCCAATCACAGTCAACTCATATATTAGAACAGCAGGAAGCAATGACAGCAAACTAAAGTTACATACAACAAAAATGCAAGTATTTCCATAAACATAACATAAATGCAGTTCAACTTCAAACAATACTTACTCTATAATTCCATGAATATTTCACCGAGGCAGTATAATCTCTTATGGAGATACAGAGATTGTTGGAAAATTGGATTGGGTTTAGATAGGGATGTCTTAAAAGACAACCCTATCTGATTTCTTTTTTTTTTGATATATAGTTTTAACTATTTATTCTTTTTTAAAATTTTTATTTTATTTTATATATT